TCTCTCTCTCTCTCTCTCTCTCTCTCTTTTCCTTAGGCTATCCTCCCACCACCTCACCTTTATGACGCGACTTTTGCGATAACTGTAATGGCTACTCTGGCAACACGAAGCACGCTATTACCGTCACTCTATTTCACAGTTGATATCTCTCCCCTTTCAGCTTCAGCACGGCCACCCACACCTCGGAGCATCCCCTTGAAGGCCCCACCTTGACCCAGTGAATTTCTCGTGTGTCGTGTATATAGCGGCTGCATAGGGAATTTGATAAAAAGTATGCACCAGCAAGCTATTATTATACCATAGGGCGGTGATTTATTTTTGCCAGGGTCGGCACGATGGTAGGGTGTTGATGGTCGTCGAGGGTTGTTCCACGATGTTTTTTTGCCTCGAGCAGTTGCACGAACAATCGCACTTTCTTTCTGCCAGCGCTTTCACGTAGATTGTACAAGTTTCGTTTGCGTTCACGACGGTCGACGCGGTTTCGTGATATAACTGCGAGTTGAATACATAATGTCGTATCGAGACAAAATGAATATCTACTTCGTGAAATGTTACTTGTTGTGGAACAAGTTGATAATTATTAAAAAAAAAAAGCTTCAATATTTAGCGCTTCGCTTTTGTGCAAATTAATCACGACATTTTCGAGGAATTAAGTATGACATTTTTACTAAATTTTTGTGTCGTTGGACGATGGTTTTAAATATATTGTAAACATTGGCAAGAGGAAGAAAAATTTTCTAATCATTTAATGTACAATAGTCTTCCTTATGCGAATTCTTAATGTCCGAACGTTTTGATAATATACAAAAATATTCGAATATTAAGATATTATATTTAAGATGACAGATGATATCTTCCATGTTCATTTTGCATGATATTTTTTAATATCACGAGGAATTGTTGTTACAAGGAAGTGGTATAAGTATTTATGTAAAACGTTATCAGGATATAAAGGATACATTCTATTATCCGTATTTTTGTTTGTTTCTATTAACTATTCTTTCTACTAACCATTTTATTAACCATTATTTTCGTTTTTCTATTATTTCAGTATTGAACGCTTTACTATAATTCACTTCTCTATCATGAGGAGATCAAAATTATCAAAGGGGAATTTCAGCTAATAATGAAAAATTACGAAAATCATTTGTTTTCTAAAATCTGATTTTTGCAGCAATATTCTTTGTGTGTCTAATCCTTTTAAATCCTTTTTGAGTATCTAGCCGATATTTAAGTGTCGTATAAATAATTTTACAATCAATAGTAAAATTGATTTAGTTATTAGTTATTCAAAGAGGATAACATATTATTATAATATATTGAATAAATATATAAAAAAATATATACCTAAAGAAAAATGCATTTTTAATTTACATAATCCTCATTCAGCATTAAACTTTTACATTTTTGATAATTTCAAATAATTTTCGCTTCCACTGAGAAACTTGTGCAACGTATATCGTGTGAAATGACAACATGTCAAAGATCAAGGATAAAACAAATATAATTGCTGACTCTTGATTTTTATGCGTATTCATATTTTTCTAAAGAAGTGAAACCTAAGTAAAAATTTGTTCAATTCTCTATTGAATGTTGTAACTAAACTCCGGATGTTTATGCATTTATAGAAAATTTAAAAATTCAAATTGCAGAGAATGCACATAACATAGATATGTACCGTGGAAAATACATTTCTACTGAGTTTACATTTAGATTCAATTTTTTTTAATTATATTCACGGAAATGTTGATATACATTATAATTTACAACTTAGTTATAACAAGTATTGCACTTTGAATATTTAATATATTTTCTAGAAATATTGTAAATAAGTATTGTAAAATATATAAATAACATAATGTATTTAAAATAATATAAAATATTACAAATAAGTAAATATCTATGCGTTTTTGTATCTTCAAATATTTCGCAAAATAGATTTTGGATTTTTATGCATTTATAGTAAATTTATAGATGCAAAAAAGTAGAGAATTCATACGGCATACAAAAATATGTAACATGTTGAAAGTGGAATTTTTCTTATAATATTCAGCAGCGCAAACAAATTTTTGCTTAGCCTCTGTTTCTACAATTGCTTGTAAAAATGTGAAATTGTATAAAAATTTAGTGCCTCTACATTTATACAGATAAAATATCTCACCACGCAATGTCGTTCGTAACACGCTTCGGACGAGATATTCTGCAGTGTACACTGTTCATGTGACGTTTTGGACAAGATATCTTGCATATCTTTTCGTTACAGCTTGAAACACCTCGAATGCAAATATGTAGATGATAGTACCTTCAAGTTATATACATTAGCAAACTAAAATTTAGAATATTTTAGATTTTATTTCAGTTTTATTTTATTTTATTTTATTTTGTATTTCACATTCTCCGCAATAGCCATTATTTCACTTGCAATTATTTAAAAATTCTAATTTTTAATTGTACAGAAGAAAAAGACTTCTAAAAGAAAATTTCGAGGATTGATTCGATTTAATTTAGATTAGATGAGATTTCCAGACCATCTTTCCACCTATGTTTTACTATCTCATAAAATTTTTTATATCATAAAAATTTCAGTATATAATATTATGCCAAATTATTTCTTGGGTCTTCAATGGTTGATGATGAAATTTAAATTAAATTCAAAATTTCAAAATTGGCAACAAATAAAAGATTTTTTTTCTGGTATATAAATGTATTTCATCTGAAGAAAAAGATTGCATGACGAGATATTTCTATTTAGATTTTATTTCTTAAATAATTGTATTGATAAAATAGATACTATTGTAATTAATTTAATTGTAAATAACAATTAAATTAAACACCGTCGTTAAATAAGTTTTTTATTTTACTAGATATTTTTTGAAAAGAAAATTCGATAGAAATTTCTTCCTTTTTCCCCTGTAGAATAAATATTAACGAAACAAAATGCACATTTTTATTTGAAAAAAGAAAATTGATTTTCAAATAATCTCGAAAACAAATTTAAATAAAACAAGAAAAAAAAGATAAATGTTTCTCTTGATACTATAAAACTTTTATATTCATTTTTTTTTTTTCGAAAGTGCTTTTTAGTTATTTAGAGTTGAAATTTTCGAACGAATATTCTGCATAGTTTTGTATCACAGGATGATTCTTAAATGCACGTTTATACTTTGGGTGATGAATCGATATAATAAAATAAGTGAAAAATATCTCTATATACCTAC